TCTTTTATTTAGCTCTGATCAGCACGCCCTTGAAAGACTGACTGTGGACCAAACAATCCATCCTTTATATGGAACTGCACTGATTCCATCCAAATCAAATCAGGCTACTACTCTGAGTGTGAAGTCAAGCATGAATATACCTGTGCAGGTCTGGAACCTCATTTTGTTAAAAGGAGCAGCAGGACTGAAGCCCTGAGGCAACAAGGCACTTACACCCATGCTTCAGTCCCACCAATTTGAACAGGAATTAAGCACACACTTAAGTGCTTTGCTGAATAGGCACGAGATATTTATTTTAAAAGTAAGTACTGACAAGATGATGCATTGACCTGGCAACCTGACAAGAAGGGAAGCCCATTTCCAAAATGCCTCAGCCCTGGCAATGGGATTTTACCATGAATTGAGACCTGTGGAAATAATTATCCCTGGAAACAGCTGAGAGTGGTTTTGCAACATTGCTTACTTTGCACAAGCAGCACCAGATTTAATGGTGGATGCGACTGAGACACAGCATCATTAAGCCTTGTCAGTACTTTGTTAAGTGACAAAATTTAAATGCATTGCTTAATTAAATCTCATTACTGCATGTTATTAAACGTGAACAGTCACCAGGTACTGTATGAGCACACTCATACAGGATGAGTGTGCTGTCTTATTACTGTTTAATAAACTCTGATTCCATTTAAATGCAAGTGTAGTTATAACACATCCTTCACCTAGCCAACCAGACAAGACAGCTAAGCAAAGCAAATATAAGAAGTGCTAACAGGAAGATAAACTCCCAAAAGCAGACTTATCATCAGGGCCGGCAGAACCACTTATTCTTCAGGTTGCATAACACTTCCTATTAGAAGACTTTATTTTCAGCTGCTTGTAACTTAGCTAAATTTGAACAATGCTTGCTAATTTTTCCCAAGCAGGATTCCATGTATTTTTAGAAAAATGTCAGCCAATAATGGAAACGATATGTTGTTTCCCACTGCTTAAAAACATTCTAGATATCTTCTCTGTGGGGTTTGGTTTGGAGCAGGGTCTTAAAACATGCCTAAAAAGCAGGTGGATTTGGCTGCCTATATACATGCTTGGGGCGGGGGGTTAATTAAAGCGGTTCCCAGACAGCTACTCTAATTAAAACGGCTCACTGTCACATGTATTAGTTTCTCACGTGTTTCAAAAAGGCTACAAGGACACTTTATTTGAAACTCATTTGAAGAGGTTTAGATAAAGCGCCCCCGTGACTATTTTGAAATGCATGAGGGACTTAATATATGCAAAGATGAGGCAGCACTGGAGCATTCCAATTAGAAAGAAGAGCAGACTCATTTAATCGAGTCTGATCCAATGTTTCATAGTTCCATAGTTCTTAGGGGCTAGAACGGACTTTACAGATCATTGGGTCCAGTCCTCCTGTACATGGGCAGGAAAGAATGCTGAGATCAAATGACCCCAGCAAAATGGGCGTCAAGATGTTTTTTGAAGATCGCCAGAGTGGATGACTGTACAGTACCACCTCTGGGGGGAACCTGTTCCAAACCCTTGGCACTCAGCTTGTAAAGAACCTTTTCCTTATGTCTAGCCTGAAGCGATCCTCAATCAGCTTGTGCCCATTATTTCTTGTTCTCCCCTGGGGGACCTTGGTAAACAGATGGCTCCATCAAGCCCTAATGTACGCCTCTGATATACTTATATGATGCAATTAAGTTCCTACCTGTTTCTCTTCTCCAGGCTGAACAATCCCAAGTCCCTCAACCTCTCCTCATATGTCTTGGTCTCCAGGCCTCGAATCATGAGTGTGGGCTCTCATTTGGTCTCTCTCAAGCTTCTCCACATCCTTCCTGAAGTGCAGTGCCAAGAACTAGATGCAGTACTCCAGTTGCAGTCTCAACAAGACCAAATAGAGCAGGATGACATCCTTTACCTTGCTCAAGATGCCTCGGTGGATGCATGCCAGTGTTTGGTTAGCTCTGCCAGCTACAGCATTGCATTGGTGGCTCATATTCATTTAGTTGTCAGTCATGACACCCAGCTCTCATTCGGTTGTGGTGCTGGCTGGATTAAATGATATCAGGTTGAGGTCTGCCCAATTCATGAGCCTGTCCAGCTGTGTTCAATTGAAATGCATCGGAGCACATCTATAGGCACCCTTTATTTCCACGACGTTCACCGATATTCTTGTCAAGATCTACCACTATTTGCCCAAGTTTTAAGCCATAAGGGAGGAAAAAAAATATATGAAACAAGATGCCACCTAGTCCCAGAAGTGTGGGAAGAGCACCAGCCCCAGAAGCCAATGTAGAGGGTACCAGAATGATGTCATCCTCCCCACAGTCTCTGCTGCATCTGGATCAGACCTGCCCACTCTGGTCAAAGTAGCCCAGCTGGAGAAGCTCTATGCCTCCCACCTATAAGAGCTGTGTGGTGGGACACAACAGGAGCAGCCCTGTACCACCCAGTCCTAGAAACCAAGCTGCAGCAGCCCTGCACTGCCCAGTCATAGGAGCTGGGTACAGGGTCTCATTAGGAGCAGCAGGAGTCTTTGAGTCCTTGGGGCAGGTAAGACTATCCTGTGGCTGGGCAGTTCAGGGTTGCTCCAGCTGAGTGTCTAGGGGCAGGCAGTGCAGAGTTAGTCTGGCTGTGTGGTAGCACCCAACTCCTACAGCTGGGCAGTATGGGATTTCTCCAGCCAGGATCCTATAGTTGGGGGAGAAGTGCTAGTCCAGAGGTGGTCCCCTTCCCTACCAGCATTTTGCCCAGGGTAACTGAATTTATAGTTGCACCTCTGACCTGACCTGTGCAAGCCAGCACTAGGCATGCTGCAACCCAAGGCGACAGTAGCAGTCAGACTCTCCCTGTCAGGACTGTTCCAGGCTTAGATGGGGCCAGGTGCTGAAACAGAGAACAGCGACTCTGTTGGCAGGCATGCCTTGATTCAGAACCAATTTTCCAAGTTCAGGATAAAATTCCATTGGAGGAGCTTTTTTTTGAGGACACAGCCCTGAAATTTAAGACAACTGGTCACTTCAGTTCCAGGAGGCTTTGCCTCTTCATCCTAGCACTGTAACCCCTTAATTACTCCTTCTTGGGGCTCCTCCAGAGCTACCTATTTGGCCCAAGTCAGACCCCAACCCTCTCCCCCATCACTTCTTTGTCCCACTCTTAACACATTGCACTTCATTCAGATCAACATTTCGGCTCTTTCTACAGAAGACTGGGAGTCATGGTAAGAGGAGAAATCTTGATACTTGGTGAGGTCTTTAGTGGGAAATAAATGGGGAACAAGCATGGGTGAAAAGCAAAACTGGGGAAGTGGACAACTGGAGACCAGCTGATGAGCCAGGGAAGGAAAATTGGGATTAGGTGGGATAAAAAGCCTGCAGAATGGTATTGGAACAAGGAGCCAGGACAGGGAAAAGACAAATCCAGACTGGATGGGACAGGGTTGAAGGGGTCAAACTGAAGGTAATGGGGGGAGGAAGGGGGAAGGACTCTTCAAAGTAGAGCACACTCCCTTACTGAGACTCGCCTGTCCTCTGATGTCAAAAACTTGTGAGCCGCACTGGATAAGCATATGTTCAGAGCAAACTTCCTTGCGTGCTTTTGAAAATACCAGGGGGCTAGCTATGCCTTTTAAAATTCAAATTCAAATCTCATGAGGTAACAGGCATGACATATTACACACTTTGTTTTATTTTACAAAAGCTTGAGATTTGACAAGGATATTGCATTGGGTGAGCTTAGTATTTATTTTCTAAAATTCACATATATATCATTTTTTCAGGTCTTTTTAAAAATTAGATGAGGACAGATATGGGAAGTCTCTAGATAAATATGAACATGTTATGAACAATGTACTTAGAGAAGGGCATTTTCCTTTACAATACAGGCTGTTTCTTGACGGTTAAAAAAAACAAACAAACCCAGAAATGCAGAACTCCATTTTCCATGTTTCATTGAAGTTAGCAATTAGACACACAGCCCTAAGCTAGACTAATGCCGATGCCGAACATTATTAAAAACAATTTATAAACAGTTAGCTTATTCAACGTTCAAAACGTATCTGGAGACTAAGTTTGTAGCCTTAACCATTGTCTACATTTGCAAGGTAGAAATAAGCACAGTAATTAGAGCCAGTACCTTGCCAGGTAACACTTTTCGGCCTATTTGTTTACAAAAGCAGTAACAGAGGAAAAAAATGGCAGTCTTTTCAAAAGGCCTTTTGTTCTTTATCAGTGCAGAATGGTATGGTTACCACTATTTTGAAATCCATGCCCCCAACAACTTAACCATTAGTAGGACATTGAAGTCAACAGCTTATTTTGCGTGTGTCCTAAGCAATGCTTCACATTTATCTCGTGCTCTTCAGCTCCAAAGGGTTGTATGAACACTAAGCAAGCCTCACATCATGTGAAGTAGAAAGTTTTATCCCCATTTTACAAACCTGGAGGCAGACAGGTTACTTGGTTTGCTAAGTCACAGCAGAAATGAGCTAGAATGTGAAACCAGGAAGATTCCCAGACCACCAGTTTTGTGCTCAGTCACTTTATGTAATTCTCTGTAATTATGAAGTGGCTTTGAGATTGTTGCAGAACATCATGTTACTTTGGTAGTTATAGTAACAAACACAATCAAAATAGCTTATTCAGTACTGGTTTTAGGAATCAGGTATACTCCTGCATACAGGGAAAAAATAAGTCTAAACAGAAGCAAAATAGGTTCCAAGTTGTTCCTTACACATTAATGCAAGTTGTCTGTTATTTGTTATATACTCTTTACCCCATTTTTGTATTTTGACTCAATTAAACCCATTTAAAGGCCAAAAGCCAAATTCTGTGTTACTTATAGCCAGTAAGAGGATCATAAATACTTATCCCAAGCTTAATTTGCAAGTCAGTTTTTAAAGCCTTCACCATGGTATCCCTTCTCTCTCATGCCACACCTTGCCCAGTTACAGTGCTCAGCAAAGAAATATATATATATATATATATATATTTTATGTCCTTTGATAGGGTATTTCAGTATCAGCCCATCAACAGAGGGCATATTTAAATATTAAACTTCTTTGTCAGAAATTAACAAAATCATAGATAAGCCACCAATATAACAAAGCCAACAACTTCAAAAAACATTGGGAATATCCACGAAATGGATGCAGGACTGTAAGCCCAGCTCAACACTTTTCTGGAAAACAAGCCAGCTGGAACGAGACAGATGCTTGCTCCAAAACATTGTTAACCTAAATCATATCCCAGAATGGGTCCAAGCCATTTTTCAACCTCAGCCACAGACAAGTTTTTCCTCAATGCATAATCTTCAACCTACAAAGGAACAAACAGGAGGAAGATTTTAACATACTGGGTGTTAAATCTCTAGATTTCAGTGTTTTCAAAATATTCCAGAAACAGCCCGTCCCAAATGTTTCATTTAAATCAAACAGTTAGTAGCTCAGCCATACAGTGGGATCCAAATTACCTGATCTTTACATATTTTCCCAACTGCAAAGTATTTGGATTTGGGGTTGGCGAAGTAGAGACCAGAAATGGCAGATGCAGGTGTCATTGCAAGCGATTCAGTTAACCCAATATCTGAGAGAGAGAACAACATTTTGTTTAGTCACCAATAACGACAGGCCTATTTTCTGCAGTCTTCTTTTTCAGCAGATTGGAAATTCTACAACAGCTTTAGGCAAATTAAAAAAAAAAACAGGGTTTTTAACAGAATTCAACTGTGAGGTGAACACCACAGTTGGTTCCATATTCCTTGCGGGGGGTTTTTAACCTCACTCCCAAACATTTGCTTTTCAATATGCTGCAGATTTCTGTATCAGTAATGCATACCTGCAGTA